ATTTCGGAAAAGTATTAAGATGTTTAATAAAAAAGTTCTATTATAAAGTCAGTGAATGAAAAGTTGTAGTATATTTTAGGTGTGCGAGGGGCGGAAAATGGTATGAAAGTAATAAGCCGAATGGAGAGGATTCGGATTCAAAAGACGTCGATTATTTTATTTGACGTCGATATGTACAAAGGGATGATTATAAATCTATGAAAAAGGTTTTTTTTTAGAATTAGTATTCTTTGACAGTCATAGGATCGTTTTATCTTAATATATCCAGGGCAAACGGCCCTGCGGTTTATAATTAATTTAACTTGCATCATTTTCAGAGTTCTTCATCATTTTCAGAATCATGATGCCACGCCAGGGCGGGGAGAGAAAAAGTATAAATAATTAAAACTCGGTGGTATTTCACTGTAAGGTCTATCAACACTTGAAGATGCTACGTGGAGAAGCAAAATTTTTGTACAATGGTGATTTTTGCAAAAATTGTTGCCGCTTGTTCATTTGAATTTGTGTACGGGCGGTGCATAGCAGGTCTTGTGGATATTGACTGGTTGTGGAAATTAGATATTTTAGTTTCATAATTATAATGGATTTTATTACATTACATTTGAATAGCAGAGATCTCATAGCTACTTTGTTTTCCAGCGCCATCATTAAATCAGCTCCAGTCCATAATAATATTGCATTGTCGTCTTCGACAGACGACCTCCGTGACTGAGTGGCTCGTACGCAGGCCGGTTTAAATGTGCCGCCATTTTTAAGATCTGTGGGTCCGATTCCGGGTCTGGTAATAATAGACAATTTAAATGAATCTTTTATTAATTCTTTTTTCACTAAAAATTTGTCAAAATTACTTTTATAGTGCTAGTGATGTAGCAGCATTCAAAAACCTTATGTGGGATCAATTTTCGCCGTAAATTTATCTTATATAACTTTTACGTAATATTTTAGTTTCTTAAAAGCTCTCGCAACATCTCTATAGGACTAGTTCTGTAAACGTCATAAAATCACTTCTATAGAGCCAATTGATCCCATAGAGACTTGATGTATTTGCTAAATCATTTAATTTTATTGCTCTATAATTGCGTTGATTGTTAGTGTTAAAAGGCTAAAGAGTGAAATGTAGTTTAATTAATAATGAACTTACCAATTACACATATAGTTAGCCTTTTAGCACCGTAGTTTCACTGAGATCTATTAAAATCCATCAAATGCCAAACTACTGGGAAAAAATAACATAAAGTCAAAGATAGATTTTTATTTTAGAACAGAAAATACACGCTAAAAGGAAAAAATGTGTTTCCCAGGTCGCACAAATTGGAGATATTCGACTAGATCTAGACTAGACTTTCACAATATAACAGACGTATGATATCTAGCTGTAATAGTGTTAGTCAAACCATCTGTAATAATTGTAATGCATTACAATAAATAAAAGAAACAATAGTTTTAAAGGATATCATAATAGACAAATTGAACAAATTGTGGTAGAATCCACCATAATTTAATGTACATAAGAACTCTTTTGTAATATTTCTTTTTATATGCTATTAACTGTCCAAAACGTCTTTTTCGTATTTATGTTTTTTTTTTGGTTTAAACTTGTCATCTGGATATTTTGTTTGTACATACGAGTACTTAAATTATCATGTTAAAATAAAACATAAATTCATTATTACTGAACCTTTTATTAATATAAGTTAGGTCCGGTATACAAATAATCTTATTGTTATACATACATAAATGAATTATTATTAATATAAGCATATACACCTACTTACATCACACCCTTTTTACTTGGAGTGCATAACGTTGTAAATAACTTTAATATAAAACTTCTAGGTCATCATCATCATCACCAGCCCTTTTACGTCCCCACTGCAAGAGCTCAGGTCTTCCTTATGGATGGTTAAGGAGGATGGGCCATGATGACGGAGTAGCTCGAGATAATAATTTTTTGGTCACCCATCCCGTGACCGACCCTAGCGAAAGTTGCTTAACGACTACGATCGCGGACCGCGGCGCTTATCTACTACGCCACCGAGCTACTCAAACTTCTTGATATATCTACATTTTTTTAATAAAATTAATTTAATGAAAAAGTAAGTTAATTTTACTTGTAGTCGGCCATGTATAAAAGTAATAAAAGTAATAATACAAATTAAATCTAGCATCTTAGAGAAATAATTAGCACTTTTATCTTAACATAAAAAAAAAATAAAGAATATCATCAAATAAAGGAACAGAAAAAAACGTAATATCACTGTAAAAATAAAAATCCTGAAGCTAATTAATAAAAAAAGACAAAATGAAAGAAATACAAAAAAGGAATGCTGTTGAAGTCGAAAAATAGTCATAAGAGGAAAAAAGTACGACATACTCGGTAAGTAAATAGAATAAAATGCCACTCACGTGAAGAGGAACTGACTAGTGACACGGAAGTAAACGATTTAAAGAATATAAATTGCGGTTACTTGGAACGTACCGTATTTGCAGGTGATGCCTTTAAAAAATTCTAATGAATGTCAAATTTGTATGGATAATGCCACTTTAAACTAATTACTATTTTAATGGACGTTTGTGCAATTAGCTGATAGCCGACTTGTTGGGCACTTGAGACCGAGCACTGGTGAAAACAAACTGTATATAATTGAAGTCCTTATTTTTTAAATAGCGTTAAAACAATTAAACATTCTCATCAAAAGGTGGCTACTGGGTATTTTACCCTAGCGAGTAATTTGAACATCTCGCCTTCACGTCATTAAACAGTAATACGTTAAATATATTTGGTAGGTAATCAATTAATATAGGTACAATGCAAAATATTACCCAGCAGGACAGAAACACAATCCCGCGTACCATAAATTTCTGATAATTATTATTTCCAATGAAATTCAACTAATTTATTCCGAAGTTTTATTCTCAACAAATTTGCTACATCTAGCGACATCTATACGTAACCATTGCAAATCAAATGCCCTTAATAAGATTCACAGGATCGACAGATGGCACTGTGATTTACTTTATCATTGACCGTAGACTTGCACTGTCATGTCTACGCCATAGACTGACAGTGATAGTACACTCAAGATGTTTTTACTTAATCTAGTAATAAAACACCAAGAAAACTTATATATTTTAATACATATGATTCTTGTACTACATTCAACAGTAGGTCTGGTTACACAAAATTAACAAATTTCTTCACTTGATTTTAAAATTTAATGTATTGTGAGTAAATTTCAAAATCAATTGACGAAAAACATATTGTGGCAACATGACGTGCATCCGTGTTGTACACTGATCCTCATTTTATGTCTGGCTCTTTAAAATCAATATAACCATTGTTATCAAAGAAATTATTATTTAAGACGACTGTGCACCTCGGCCTATAACCGAATAACTGATCAAAAATATATACCTACTTAGCTGCTAAATTGTTTGTGAGATTGAATAATTATAAAATTATAGACAAACGAAAAAATAATTTCATGAAAGAAGTCCCTCGGATCACAACGTTTTCATTTGTATTACAAAGGAATAAGAGTTATGCCAATGGACCTCTATCTTGACCTTGAGCGCGTTAGTAAAAAAAATTACTCAAACTCCTTTAATTTATCCCCAATAATATTTATTTGTGTATCCCACCTTCTAATTTATGTATCTTTTTTTTTTTAATTTTTGATTCTTCTCGGAACAGGCCTAATCGCTAACTCAACTGACAGCTTAGAAACGTAATCACTGTAAAAAGTGAATGTGACATTATAACTTATTCATATAACCGCTTGCCCACAGAGCTATGTGAAAAATTTATTTTGATTATCCTCAGAGTTACAGAATAAGGGGGCTGGTTTTTTTGTAATATTATCAAACTAATAACTAGAGATGTGCCGAGTTAGACTGACTCGAATACCAAACAAGTACTCGGGCACTCGATTACCTAAAATACTGAATTCAGATCCACAGTACTCGAATATAGTCTTTTAATACTAGCGATATTCAAATCCTAAGTGGTGTACTTTGATAGCAATCTTATGACTTCACGAACATAATCGATTCAAATAGGTAAAATCAGAAAAAGTAGGCCAAATATTAGTTTTGAACAGCTATCATAGGAAAATTATTTTTGATATATCGACTTTGTTTGCCTATTTAAGTTGTAAGTTGTATAATTTAACTTGTATAACTTATTTCTTGTTTGCAGTTTAATATTCGATTTAGGTCCTGTAATCCGAAACCTTTTGTTCTTAAAGTTTGCACCAATAACACAATTCTTCTATAATCCGATCGTCAGAAGGTGTCGCACATTCAACAATAATCCAAGTGTGATTTTCTAGATATTTTCCATCTAAACTTGCAAAAGTTTAAAGGAGTATTACTGGAAAATATTAGTTATTGATATTTTTTCTCTAACTTTCTCGGTGAGGCAAATTACGATTCGGCAAATTAATATAAATTAATTTCCCTAACAATTTTTTTTTTTGAATTTAATTTTATTTATTAATATCAATTTTAATTAATGAATTCTTTGGATTTGATCAGATTTCAATTTGTTGCAATTTATTATGATTATATTTTTGTTTTATGACTAATTCACTATAGATTATCCATTTCTTGATACAAATAAAAGGACTAATTATGTGTACATAATATTAAAAAATTATGTCCTGTGCAATATTTTATATATTAATATATGTCTGTAATTTTTTTTTATGTACCAATATATAAATAAATAAATAAAAGTGGTGAGTTTACTGTTTTGTAGTTTAATTTATTCTTATTTCAATTTGGATTAATTCAACGTTTTCCATTTTCATATGTAGGTATTAAGAAACATAATTATCACCCGTATAGTCCCGTATAACAAGTTTACTTCTATAATCTTAGGTTTTATTTTCAATTAAATTATTAATATCATCAAAAGTCAGTAAACATTACTTCCATAGAACTTCTTTAGTGAGTATATTATTAGTATTAGTTGCTACTTTAATATACCCTGCCATGAACCATGATCAATGATATTGATTATACATGATCTTAATTAGTATTTTCATCCTTTTGATTTTTTACATTGACCTTCTGGAATACTCGTAATAGTATTCGATTATTTTAAGCGAGTACCAAAATATTCGAATACCAATAATTGCCGACAAGTCCATTACTAGACAGGGCGTGCTTGAAAACCTTAGACAGAGAGAGATAGAAAGATTACGCTACAAAATCAAACGATAAACTCTTTAAAAAATTTACACTATTCCAAAATCATATTTATTTTTGTAGTAATCTAATATTAAAATGAGTTAGTATAACTTATCGAATATACAGAAATACGTCTAAATATTTCACCGGAAGTAAAGACACTAGCAACTCACTCATTCAACAACGCGCCGCCGCCGCGTGTTCCGCTCCATAACCAGCGGCTGAGCCCGCCATTTTGTCTGTGCGCTCGTCTCTTGTCTATAATTTTCGGATAGATTGTCTTTATGGGCAAGGTCTGTAGATAATTTTTCTCTTTGGATACTTAGAAATTGTGGTCTTTGAAGTAAATTTTTCTATTTATCTGTCAAAACAATGGCTCTAAAAAATATGTTACTATTTTATTACAGATCTTTTTCGAATAATATTGTGCATTGTGATGTAAAATGGATACGTGGTCGGAGTTATGTCGATGTTGTCTCTCCTCAAATTGCACTATTTCATTATTTGACGCTGACCAAATTGTTAAGTTGAAATTCATAGAAATTACCACTATAAAGGTATGCTGTAAATAGTCTCATTAGCTTATTTATCTATTCTTTAACCTATTTTGTTTATATGTCACAGACAAATCGTATATAGAACTTATTTAAAAATAAAACTATCATTGGATTCAATCTGTCAATATAATATAACCTAAAAGTTATCTATTCCATAAATTGCATATTAGTAAGTAAATTAAAGTTTAATGTTAACAATTATTATTCATCAGCCTTTTCAATTAAATGCCATTCCAAGCTTTAATTTTTAATAGGTAATTTATTGTCACTTATATCATTTACTATATTACATGCAAGCTTGTAAAAATATTATTTATACATTGTATTTAAACAAATGTATATATTTGGTAATTATAATAAGGTGTCGCTAATATTGTTATTTCCAAAGCTTAATAAAACCTTTAAGTTAATTCAAAGATGATTATTTCATATTTTCAGATAAAAGATGATGATGGTCTACCACAAAAGCTATGTGCAGATTGTTATGATATATTAGAGTCTGCTTGTGAATTCAAAAAGCAGTGTCTGAAAATGGATGTGAACTTAAAAAGGCAACTTAACGAGTTAATTAACCTATCAAGTCAAGCTAAAAGCTTTGATGATGGTACAATTGTAGAGGAAGACAACGACATAGCCAATGATCCAGTCAAACAATTAGAAGCCATTATTAAACCAGAACCAACGGACAGTGATGATGATTGCTATTATGTTTTGGTAATAGATGATAATAATGTTAAAGACACAACTATAAAAGAAGAGCCAGAAGTGAAACTGCCAAAAATAAAAGTTGAAAATGTTGATACCATAGGCAATAAAGATACACCAGAGCCAAATATAACTAATGAAATAATTCTTACAGACAAAGAGAATGATTATGAAAACACATTCAAGTCATTCCTTGTTTCCAACACTAAAGTGCCTGTTAATGTTCCAGCAACAATTTTAGAAAATGAGGAGGAGAGTCAGGATAATGATGATGAGAGTCAGGAACATGATAATGAGATTCAGGAAAATTATAATGAGATTGAGGAAAACGATAATGAGAGACAGGAACATAATAACTTTAATATGGATGTCGATACACAGGACAGTAACTCTCAAGAACACACATTACAGGAAAAAGATGATGCGACTAACTATCCTGATCATGTTAATGATAATGCCAAAAGTTTAATAAAAATACTAACAACTAATAATAGTGATGGCACAATCTTTTTGAAAGATGCCAACGGTATTGAATATTTGGCAGACTCACTCATTACTAGTGCTGATGGAGAGCAGTTAGATCAGGAAGAGGTAATCTTCTGTGAGGGTGATGAAACATCACAGTTTCAGATATTGAAAGTAATAGAATACACTGATGACAGTCAAATTGCTACTGTATTGCAACAAGATGATGGTACATTCTTATGTGACTGCGGTGAAGAGTGTAAAGATTTGTCTGAATTTGAGAAGCACCAAAGAAGTCATATATTATCCAATGTTTTTTTATGTAATCTGTGTGGCAAAGGCTTTGAAACAGAAGAGATATTAACTGGTCATACACTTTTGCACAATATGACCGGCTTACTAGTCAAATGCCCATTCTGTGAACAAGTTTTTAGACGGAACAGCCTCACTCAACATATCAAACACACTCATAATCATATCAGACCACGTTGTGATGTTTGCATGAAAACTTTCGCCAACACCAATAATCTGAAGCGTCACATGATGATTCATAGTGGTCTCCGGGAATTTGAATGTGATATATGCTGTAAGCGTTTCCATCAAAAAATCACCATGCAAACTCACAGACTCACTCATGTGAATCCGTACTCTTGTAATCAATGTGATGAGACATTTATAGATAAAGAGTTGCTGACATCTCACAAAGAAAGTGGACAATGCAACAAATCAAAACTTATTAAGGTTAAAAATGAGTTAATGAAGACTGTCAAACAAGAAGTCACCACAACAGTAGGTAAACTTCTTGGTTATGCATGTTCGCTATGCAAAAAAATGTTCTCATTAGAATCAGCATTAGAACAACATGTTGAACAAACACATATACTGAACATAGCCGAATTACTATGTGCTGAGTGTGGAATAGTGTTGCCGACCAAGAAGGAAATGCAAAATCATTTAGCCAGTCATAAGAATTTGAAACCTAAGCAATCTAAGAGGTTTGAATGTAGAATATGTGGCAAGGGTTGTACTAGTCAGGCTATGTTGATAATGCATGAGAGGGTACACACAAATGAAAGACCTTTTCCTTGTCAGTTATGCTCTCTCCGTTTCAAGACTAAAACACATCTTCGTACACACCAGCTCACTCATACAAGAGAAAAGAAATTTGGATGCTCTGTGTGCATGAAATTCTTTGCTCTGAAAGGCAACTTGGTAGTACACTTACGAACACATACTGGTGAGCGTCCTTATGTTTGCTCAATTTGTGGAGAAGCATTCATTGATTCAAAGTATTTAAAGAAGCATAAGTTAAAGAAACATTCAATAGAAAATGTTCCTTGGAATCAATATACACAATCGAATCAAGAATGAAACTTTATGCTGCAACACTTTCTTTTTCATTTTCATTTGCTTTTATTGAAGTGGTCTACTTTTGTTTTTTTTTTTAATGATAATCATTTAAAATTATCATTGTTTTTATGAAGTGGGATAACACTAGTATCATTTATTATGTAAATATATGTCGTAAAATAAGCATAATAATACTATCTTAATATCTTTTTTCTGTATCCATGCGATGTTCAAATGTCGTATGAAGAATTTTGAGTACTGCAATTTGTTGCTAATGTCTTTGTACTGCAACTATAATATGCTTATTTATTAGATATATCATTGTAAGACATTATGGAGGTGTATCAGTTTTAAAGAAAATTTTAAATCTTTAGTGTAGTTACAACTGACAATGAAAAGTTTTTATTTAAATGCAATAAAATAACTCAAACCTTCATATTGGTTTTTATTCCTCGATTAAGTTTTTGTTAGGATAAGAATAATATAAAAGAGTAATGAATAGGTTTTTCTATTGAAGAATTTATAAAATTTTAGGAATCTGCAAGGTAGGTTTGATATATATTGTGTGATGCACAGATCAGTAACTCCTATGGAAGAGTGACTTCAGAGACAATTTTTCAGTTAAGCAAAGGAATTCAATAAATTTATAATTTTAAATAGTCATAGGTTGGTTTTATAGAAGGGGTTTAAATGTTTCTTGATTAAAAATTATCAAACTAGTGTCATCTATTAAAAATGTAAAGTACTTCATATACAGTAGACAGTAGTGTTTAACAAAATAATTTTGCTACTCGTCGATAGATGGTCCTATTTTTTTCGATGATGTATGCTGCAGCTTCTCATTAACAGATGTCGTTAAATGGTTTAAAAATCTAGATACCTAAGCAATTAAAAAAAAAAATACACTTTTCAGTCTGTCTCTAAATAAAAACACATTTTCATAAATATTCTTACGGATATGATTTATTGGACATTTGGCTAAATTTTACGATATTACATCAATAATAAAAATAATGATCAATTTAAAATTAAATATGCGTGGGAGGGAGTATAATTCCTTTCAACTTTTCTATATCTTGGTATATATAAGGCCATAGGTATAGTGCCAAATAGGCAGTGGTTAATATGATAATTTCAAAGTGCGAGGTTGTAAACCTTTCTAACATATCTTTGCAACGTAATGAAATTAATATTACTGCCTTCCGAAGACTTATCCCACTTTTGATAATCAGAGTCACTTCTCTCATATTTCTTTCAGCATGAAAATCGTGATCCATCTTTTTATTACGATTTCTTTCCATTTTCTTCGAAAATAAAACTATTTGTAGGCATAAAACACATCCGGGGGCTGGGTGTGGAGCAGTCCCAGATCCCACGTTCTTCCCCTAAAGTGAGAGTACATCTGAGGGGGTTAAGTGAGTATGCCATTCACGTTTTGAATAGCCTTCGGGTGGGTGCGTGTGGATGGATAGTCCCACCTATACCTAGTTGCCTGTCAAACGGCAGGGATAGTGTACAAAGCATTCATCCTACGACAAAAAAGCCATAAAACAAACTATGAATTTGGTTGGGGCCCATTGTTGCAGTGTAATACAGTGCACAGTAACACAGTGCCCCAGATGGGCAAGCCGAAGAAAATAATTCAAATGAGTAATAGAAATTGTATTTAAAATAAATTACTAATCGATAATATGAAGCCAAAAATCAGTAAATAGATGAATACCGTAAGCACTTACCTAAATTATAATTAAAAACCTTTTATTGTTTAAATTGTTGATTTTGGTTAATAATTTAACAGAAAATACAAAAGATTGCAATAGTAAATAGCATTAAATTAGACGTGTTTGATTAAGGGCAGGAAAGTAAAATTAAAAAATTGTTTGTCATCAGTAGTACGAAATGATTATTCAAATCAGTTTTCCTTAGTTTTTTATTTGTTTTTCATAATTTTTTATAGATTATGTTATGCAAACTATACCTATACTTAGAATTTATAAATTAAAATCAGTATATCAGTATATCTTTAAATTATTTTTCTTTGACAGAAACAAAATTGACGAATTTTCGTCACCCTGAATTACATTCTCATTAAAAAAGCAAATAAATATCTTGCCTTCTCTTTTTCTTATTCTTTCTTCACTTCTCGTCTGCAGATGCATGATAATGGACAGACATTATGACAGTTGCCGAATTAGTATGCTGTAATTACTGTTAAAAAGTCATAACTATGTCATGACCTACCTTTAGTTAGTACATAAGTTGAAGAAAATCTTTTTTACGTTCTCCTACTTTCATTTCCACATATTTCGAGGGTTTTTGTGGTTGATGATGGATGAGTCTAATCACATTATGACATTACCTACCTTATCCATTCACCATATACTCATCTTTTGAACGCTTAATAATGCTTCCGTGTTGTTTATGTTAGCCTGGTACTGTGAATGAAATTTCGAGAAAAGTTTTTATAATAAAAAAAGTTACGGTAGCCATTTTTTTAGGCGTTAATTTATTAATTTCTCCCTGCTAATAATTAAATACATGAAAAGATAAAGAAACTAAAGCAAAATAAAATTATAGAAAAAAGAATGTTGTAAAAATAAAAAAAAAAAACATGTTATAAAAGACAAATTATAAAGGCAGTCCTCGTACTCACGGCTTTTTATTATAGGTTCTTGAAATACGTGACATATTTTTTGACACCTATTATTGTTTACATGGCTGCACGTTAGGCTTTACATGAGGACTTCGGACCGACCGCCCTTCGTTAGAACTTTCCTATTAACAGAGGTCTGCTTATGGTGATGGTCTGACCAGTGACGTGCACCCGTGCGTACTTAAAACCCAAGGTTTTTTTATTTCTGTGTGGTAATCTGCAATCAGCATTGTGTGCTTTAAGCAGGTATTTTGAGTGTATCATCATTTGTAGAGTGTGTCCTCCAGTGAGAACAGCTACTCATAGTTTTTATCTTCCATCAGATTTGTTACAAGTCCAGGATGTCCTTTCTTTTAAGGCGCTTATTGTAGCTTCGATTTATTAGCTCTGCTGCCAGTTCATTTGGATGTCGTTTCAGTCTGTCTGTGTAATTTTGTGTGTAATTTTGGATTTCTTCCTTCACAGTATTCATTCTTAGATATTTGTGGATTTCAGTGTTGGTTATGAACCACGGCACATTACTTAGAGATCGAAGTATGGCATTTTGTGCTCTTTGTAGTACTGAAATGCTGGAATTGCTACCGCTTCCCCATAACTGGATACCATAAGTCCAGACAGGCTTGAGAAATGTTTTGTAGATTAATAGCTTATTGTCAATAGACAACTTGCTGCTTCTTCCCAAGATTCAGGATAAGACTTTATAGCGAATATTCAATTCATTTCTCTTGGTTTTGATATGATGGTTCCACGTGAGCCTTCGATCAAGATGTAGGCCAAGGTATCGCACAAAACTCAAGGGTTAGGTTACAGAATGAAGGAAGGACACAAAAGGAATTTATAAAAAAAGATGTGTTCATTATCAAAAGTCAGTTCTTTAAATAATTATGTACAGTAGTCAACAGAACTTCTTAATGTATTGGCGGTAGAGTTTAAAATAAACTAAATGAATTTGGCATATTATGGTGACACACAGATGTGCAGCAGTTGTTTGTGTAAGTACTTATGAAATTTTGGTATGCTGTTTGGTATCACTTTAATATGCAAAATACTCTTAAGTGATATTTATAGACCGCACAAGCTGCCGGAAATAGAAACAATTGAAGAATAGTGTGAAACAAAACATTGTTTGACGTAACTCTAAACACTAAAAAAAAATAGAACCGACTTTGAACTTTTAAAAAAAATGATATATACCGAATACCTATCTCAAAAGTTATTTATTCAAGAAAATGTTGAAGTCAAGCGGAGGTCTTCTGTAGGTTTATTAATTAAATGTTAGGCGCCGTACTTCAGTAGCATTTTCTCAAATCAGTTGTTTTTGAGATAAGTATTTTTTATCCCTTTTTTGAAGTTTGAAGTCGGTTCTATTTTTTAAGTTTTTATTTCATGCCTTTTAGTAACATTGATATTTTTTTATAATAGGTACCTAACTCTAAAAAATTAAATATCTATTATAAATAAAAATAATCAACATAGTGAAAGTCTTACAAAATAAGATTTTTGTTTATTTGCTCGACAAAATTTTTGCAATAATACTATACTCATTTTATAAAGTCATAGTTTGCATTGAATAGGCTCCGAAACTATTGGACCGATTTATGAAAGTCTTTCATCTACGGGAAGTTACATAATACGCATTGGACATGGACTATATATATACTTTACGTAGGCAAAGTCACATATCGTACAGTATTATCACAATACATGTAGCTAATAAAATACTTATATGGAGATTAGTAGTTCTTGATAGTTGCCGCTAGGAGTGCTGTGCCAGTTTCCATCATAATCACTAATGCCACACGATCGAAGGTAAACGTTAATATCAAAAACTCACCCTTCGATAAAACAAAAACTATATATATACCTTGTTTACCATTTGTATAATAAATATCTCGTTCTGTTTTATGTCTTTTAAAGAATAAGAAAACGCACATGCAAATAATATTCTATTCGCCCCATGACACATCATCCCACAGAGCGTAACTCCAGCGCGTAAGGTACCAGGCGGTTATAAGTCAATTATCGGCACTGCCTAGTCATGCCACAATCGCCAAATCACTACATAGTATATACAGAACATAGAAAAACAAAGTCTCTTTCTCTGTCACTATATCCCTATGTATGCTTAAATCTTTAAATCTACGCAACGGATTTTGCTGCAGTATTTTTTTTAAAGATGGGTTGATTCAAAAGGAAGGTTTTTATGTATAATACAAGACCACGCGGGCGAAGCCGTTGGCGAAAAGCTATTATTTATAAGTTGTATCGTGTTGCTTGCTCCATCCGTCGTCGTGCACGTTCGTGTTTCAATTCACCCTAACACCACCACGCAGAGTACTAGGCGAGCATAAGTGAGCAGATATTAAAACTAGCGCATTGGGTCGAGTTGCGCGACATCTATTGAGAGGATTGCCAGAGTTAAACAAAATATCAATATGAGCCTTTCCGCTCATTTTTTCTATTTTTTCTATATTCACCGTTCTTTCTATATTAGGAATGACATCCTAAGTATTTTATTTACAACTACCATTACCGTTAGATAAAATGATCATATTAATTCTAGGTTAGTCAGTTACATCGATCTATTATTGAGTTTATGTTGCTTCCAAGATCTTTTGAATTTCGCTTAGGTAACTATGTACCTGAGTACATATTGAAACTTTGTATCAAAGTTGAAGCACTGTAGCAGGATAACTAATGCTTGCTCTTGTAATTTGTTCTGAAGTAGGTGGGTGAGAGCTATCTGCATATATGGTTCTTGTATATTTTAGTTTTTTATGAA